CTTTCTCTACATGGTGGAATTTTGGGGAAGGGACTTATTGGCCCAGGCTTAGATCAGTTTCCCACCCCTTGATCAATCAGAAATTGGAGTTACACGTTCGTTGCCAGAGCTTCTTTGTTAATTGTCAGTGGAGGCAGGGAGGGAAGCAGCTGAAGGAATGTTGACTAGGCAACCCTAGAACAATCTCCTGAGTTTCCTGAGTAGAGTAATATGGTTCCATTCAACCTCCACTTTGGGAAGAGTAAGCACTAGAGATGAGAGGGTTTTTTTTTTTTTTTCCTTTTATTCATAAAAACAAATTTGCAACAATTTATTAAAAATTGATTCCATGCAGTAGGGGAACAAGAAATTCCTCATTTACATTTGATTCTGGCAGTTCCAGTCTAATTTAAAGCATTTGTGCACTAACATCATTGGAAAATGCCTTCAGGCCGAAGCCTCTTGGAAATGGATGTGTGGTTGTTGCATATAAAAGAACAGAACCATTAAATAGCTAGAGTCACTTCTGTGGGTCTTGTTATTTGCTGGAGAAATTAAAAAACATAATGGGTGAGGCTACAGGATCAGTAAGACAGAATGTACTTGGTGGGTTAACCTAGAAGACGGAGCACGTGTTGGAGTCACAAAGGGTTACGGACGCACGCTCACCTCCGACAGTCCAATACTTTTGTTTGTTTGTTTTCCTGCTATGTTGGAATAATATTTCTACAGGTATTTTTGTGTGTGTATACATTATGTACAATTAATTGTCTCTTTCCCTTTGAAAAATTACTGTGATCCTTTAAATTAAATTTGGTTTTGGTGAAATCAAGAAAGCAAGTAAATACTGGTAATACACACTGAGTGACAACACAATTTTTAGTGCTTAAACAGAGAATGACTTCAACATGACTTGTGATGTGTTAACATTTTTTTTTTCCCTAAAAGCTACAGTACCTCCAGAACCTCTTTTTGAAGGAGGGGAGGGGAATGCTATGCTACGTGAACTCGGGTATTTTGAAATGTTGGTGATGGTGATTCCCATGGGCCCTTTCATCAAAGCCTGGTGGTGACAACAGGGTACTCCTGGCTGCAGTGGTTCTGGGAAGAGATTATTGCCTGCCTGTTGAAGCTGCCATTAGGATTCTTTAGGGAATGAGCAAACTGCTCAGTTGTGCAGACGTCCTGGACATTGTCATTCAGGTCTCCCTTTAGCAAAGAATGAACCTGTCTAGGAATGTCAGAAAAGTCACTGGGAGCCTCCTCCAGCCCAACTGTTCTGGGTAGAGGGCTGCGCTGGAAGCTTCTCTGGGCCATGTACCCAGGCTACCGTGAGGGCCAAAGTTCACTGTCACACTAATACCTCGTGGGACAGGGCTGCTTCACTGTTTGGGACCAAGTTTTCCAGTGTGAAATCAAGTTTCAATCCTCAGAGTGATCCTGTGAGGTAGGCAGGATGGGTGTTGTTTCAACCCCAATCTGTTATAGAGGGGAAACTGAGGCTTAGAGAGACACTAGTGACTTGCCCAAGGTCGCATAGAGAACTGGAGGGGAACTGAACCCAGGTCTCTCTGACTCCAGGGCCTGTGTTCTTTGGGGTTCAATTAAAAAGGAACAGTGATCATATGAATGAGGACCAGTCTCAGACTGACTGCCACTGTGACCTCCCAGGGGAGGGAGCTTGCAGGCGCCTCTGGATGGAAGGTTGCTCTGGAAGGCATGGGAAGCCCTCAGCCAGCAACTCCATCCCCTAAGACATCAGGATGTCTTTTAGCAGAATGCCCCCAATTTACTTTGGTCAGAAACAAAGTCAGTGGCAACAAAAATAAGAAGTAAAATAAAATAAAAATAAATCCCAGCCAGCCCTTGGGCCCTGATGGGAAACGTTAAAGTGCACAATCTTTCCTTCTTGTGTTTGCTGGGAACAGATGTTCTACAATTAGCTCGGTGGTCCCCCTTATTACTGGGAACACTCCATATGAACACAAGGATGGCCAACGCAGTGGGTACATGACAGACTGTTGGTGAATGCCGCAGACCATGTCTGCGGTGACGTGCCCTAAATCCCCACAGTCCCCAGATCGGGTGTTATTGTGTTAATGTGTGACGTTTATCAGAGAATAACAAACATCTCATTCAGGTATGGAAGTCCCCTGGGAGCATGCGAGTCCGCCTGCTTGGGAGCCCCGCTGCAGGGCTGCACCTGTCCACCAGTCCTGCATACTCCCTGTTCCAGGGAGGCTGGGGCATTGGGCAGGCCCTGGGGGACCTGGCAGCTCTGCTCGCCTCCTCCCCCAGAGTGCAGAAGGGCTGGTGGGGGCCGCAGCCTGTGATGTGTGTGCAGAGTGCAGAGGCAGTTTCTCCAGAGCCCTTGCCTCCTCCTGAGGCTGCTCAGGGTCACTTGGGGAGTCCAGCTGGAGTTCTTGGCCTCTCTCCTTGTCGAGAACTTTTTGCTTTTTTTTTTTTTTTTTTTTGCAAGTTTCAAATATCCCAGCTCTTCTTTGTTTGCAGACATTCAGGAAGAAGTCATTTCCATTCCTCTTCTTTGTGAAAGAATAAGAACTTCACAAATAAGGCTCGAGGTCAGGGGCCAAGTTCCCCATCCTGTCCAGCCAGTGCCATCCAAGCAGCCCTGAGAGGCAGCCGCGGTGCCAGGTTCTCCGCGGCCAGAGCCAACAGTGCCTGCAGCAGATGTCTCTGCCCAGCATGGTGCCGTTGTGGGGAGGCCCCGGCCCCCGGCCTCCCACCTTTACAGGCCTGAGACCATGACTCGGAAGGAGGGTGGCACATGTCTGTGGCGGGGGCTGGCGGTGGGGCTCACACAGGGGCTGACACAGCTGGCGTCCACGCCTCCAATGGACGGGAGGTAGGCGTGGTGGAGGATGGGGAGCTGGAGGGACAGCCGACGCTGGATGCTGGAGAAGAAAGAAGGCATTAGTAAGGCTGTTGTGCTGTTCTCTAGAACTAGGTTCGCTGGACTCACTTTGGCTAAAAGAAGCAGATTCTAGGAGCCTAGTTTTCTCTGAATCCAAGATCTGGCCATGTGATCATCTAACCATTCAGTCATCCAGCAGGTATTTAAGGAAGGCCTGCGTACCTACTATTGCCCTGGGAATAAGCAGGGTGACTGGACAGAGCAGGGAAGATGGTCTTCTTGAGCCTGTGGTCCAGGCTTTGGTGATTATCAGAACTGTCTTGTCAGTGGTACCAAGAAAAAGGTTCTTGTTTGTTTTGTTTGTCTTTCTGAGAGAGATTGTTACAAACACAGACACTTTTCTTTCCCTAATCTTACCAGCCTCTATCCAGATGCGCCTTTCTTGTCACCCTGAAAGGCATCTTGACTGCCTCACTCCCCTCTGCCACTGCCTTGCTAAGCACCTTGCCCTTTCCTGTTGGGCCAATTCCAATCTGCTGCTCCCTGGTCTCTCAGCTTCTTTAACAACTACTGTTTTCTTTCCAACACAGAGAGCCATGGAAGAGAAGAGGACATGCTTTGCTGTGGCCTTCTGGGCTTAAGATCAGTTTCTCTCTGGACTCACCCAGTGGATCTTCCACCTTCTCTTTCACCCTGTTCCTTAGGGTAGTGGTGTTGGCCAGGAGTTCAGAGAAAAGGGTAAAGAATAAACTGGACCTAGGAAAAAGGTGCCCTGTCCTGGCACCCAGGCAGGGCCTATGCAAGTTGGTATCCTGAGGTTGTCTGAGCTGTAGGATTCTCTGTTAGGATCTTGTTCAGCACACACAGTACTTGCCAAGAGCTTACTTAATTCTGGAACCTGGGTTACTTTAGAGGACACACAAGGGCCTCAGACCTTACCCCGACAGTGCTTATGCTCCAGAGGAAGCAAACGACCTGGAAACTACAGACAAAAGGCATATAGCCATCAGTATTGGCTCTCTGGTGTACAAGGTGGCCAGTCTTAGAGCTAACTGGGTCAGCAGGCTATTAGCTCTTATACCACATGGAGTTGGTGATTTGGCTGCTTTTGCTGGTTCCTCTCGGCTTGGCACTTCCCAGAGACCAGGTTTCAGAGTTTACATGTCTGACCCTTGCCTCCAATCTGTTGTAAGACAGGAAGAGCTGAAACTGCCAGTGAGAACAGAGCTGACTTTGCTTAGGTGTCTCTTTCTCTTTGCGTCTTCTCTGACTGCCCTATTTAAAATGACACTCCCCAAGTCCTTTCTCTGCTTTGTTTTCTTCCAAAGCGCCTGTCATTTAATATACTATGTCTTGCCTTTTAATTAAGTCATTATCTTGCCTGATAGAATAGAAGCTATGGGAGAAACTCATAGGTTTCAGTAATTATTAAATAAATGCATTTAACAAGGTTATATTTTATACATGACAGTGTCATCATGCCCAGGGGGAGAATACTGGGTTTGATGTTGGATAGAACAGACTTCGAGTTCTACCTTCTGCACTTAGCAAGTGGGTGAGCTTGAAGACCTCATCTTCCCTTTTTGTATATTTTCTCACCTATAAAGAACATTGTAATTGGACTGCTTTATGGGATTGCTGTAGAGATAAAGTAAAATGGGGGTGTGAAAATGTGTACATTGCAAACAGTTGTGCAATTCACATAATCTTTGTGATTCTCCAGGTACTTACTGTTCTGGGGAGTTAATATCTTCTATGGGATCTTTGCATGTTCGAGAGGGCTCTGTTGTGTTCCACTGTAGCTGGGGATTTTGATCGAGGTGATTTTTTAAAATGGCCTTTCCCCCATCTGAATGTGAAAGAACAATATCACATCAAACTCTGTTAACTTAGTTTTAAAAAATCAGCAATGCAAACTTTCTGGTGCTGCCCAAGGTGAGAGCATGCAGCAGAGCCCATCATCCCTCTGAGTTTTCTGAGTGGAGATCTGTATTGTGGCCCTCCTGAAACCATGCCAGGGAGCTGAGAGGTGCCTGCCTAGGGTGGCAGCAGTGTAGCAGAGAAGGGAGGGCCTGCCCTGTCCTGTGTCTCCAAGAGAAAAGGGGGAGTCAAGTCAATAATACAGACAATGTAACTTGGAAATGAAGGATTCTTACACTAAAGATCTTTTCATTGATGCATTGGAATGTAAGACGAAAGAACTCTTTATCGTATATTTTTTATAAGCTTAGCAAAGTTTTTTTTTTTTTTTTTTTTTGATACCGGGGATCAAACTTGCTGGGCAAGTGCTTATGTCACTGAGCTATATCCCTGGCCCCAAGCTTAGCAAAGATTAAGAAGAATAATAGTAAACTTCTGGCAGGAATATACACTGATATTACCTTATTGGGAGAACTATCAGTATGCATCATATACCTAAAAAGTACATATTTTCTACACAGAATATCTATTTCGGAGGGTTGTCCTAGGGAAATAATCAAGGATATGTGTAAAGATATATACAAGATGTTCAGCTCAGCATCATATATATATATATATATATATATACATATATATTAGTTTGATGAATATTATTTTATTTATTTTTAATTTTTAAAAAGAATGTAAAATGGTAAAAAAAGAAAAAACATTAAAAATGATACAGAATTTCACTAAACAAAATAATAGTAATTCAACAATGGTTGTACTACATAATACAAAATGTTATCTTCAAATTAGTTGTTTAGATTACCAGATATGGACATGCAAAATTGGTTAAAAAAAGTTACAAGAAATTAAAAAGAAGAAGAAAACAGAAAGAATGAAGCATTAACTGCTCCTTTCAGTAGAACACCAGGAGTCAGCAGTACAACTATCCAAGCTTTCTTGCATATATACATAAATGTACCTTTGAGGCTTTTATAAATAAATGGATACAGCTAGAGACCATACTGGTAAGTGAAATAAATCAGACCTGCATGTGCAAACATCATGTTGTCTTGCTAGTGTGAGAACCTGAGGGGGTAAATAAAGTCTGAAAGGTACAACGGATACTGTGAGAGGGGAAGAATCTGTTCACACTGCAGCATCACTTATAATATCAAAATCATGTCAGAGGCTGGAGATAGAGTGCAGCGGCACAGCGCCTGCTGCCGAATGAGTTAGATTCTGGGTACCAGAAAAGCCTATAGAAACCAAAAAACAACCAAAGTCAGAACTAGTCTGCATGTATGCAGTACAGTATAGTGGATCAGTTACATTAGTTCTGGGTCATTACTGTATAGCCACAAAGTAGTGTGACATAAATTCTCCTGTTCCCAAATGCTGTGCTATGCCTTGCAGCCAAAATACATGTGTTAGGTCAGCTGCCATCAACCACGAGTGACAGTTGTTGACCATAAATTCAATGTTAGCAATCCAACAATATATATTAAATGAGGAATCATTAAACAGAAAGATGCATAAAACAAAATAAGGTACTGATCGGTTACAGCGTTGAAAGGCTTACAGGAACCTAACCCTGGATGTCCCCTAGGAGGCATGACTCAGTACTCCCTCTTTCCCTCTGTGTGTGTGTGTGTGTGTGTGTGTGTGTGTGTGTGTGTGTGTGACTCACAGAGCATCATTGCATCCCTCATCAGAGTGATGAGAACTGACTGTGTCTGGAACACGGCGGTCTGATGGGCTGGCCCAGACTCGCGTGTGGAAACTGGAAGGCCACTGTGAATGAAGAGGTGGAGTTTTTAGGAGGCTACTGTGTTATGAGAGTGGAGCTGTCACTGAGTGGTTGGTCCCCTTATTGAAGTTACTGAGGGAGAGGATTTGTGCCCTCGTGTTGCTCTCATCACATAGGGACACAGCACTCCTCGCATCCTGGGAGGCTGTCTTCTGTGTACCATCTCAGAGCAGAGAGGAGGCCTTCACCTACTAGTGCCTTGATTTTGGGCTCCTAGTCTTCAGAACGGTGAGAAATCAGGTTTCACACAGATCATCTAGTTTATGATATTTTGTCAGAGCAGCACAAACAGGTAAGTGACACATGGGATGTGTGTATTAGAAACATTGCTCCTCAGGCCAGCCACATTTGTAGATGCCTTTCCCAACAGGTTTCCTTGCTTTCCTAGCAGTGCTTTGATCTTGGATCTTTACCAGTCTTACAGGTAGGTTGGAAGGGTGTCTCACTGCAGGTTTAATTTGCACTGCTTTAATAAGCAGTGAGCTTGAGCATGTTTTCACAACTGAAAGAGCTACTTTTGTAGGGGAGAATGTTCATTTGTTTATTTTATTTTGGTTTGTTAGTCTTTTTTATGTATTTAGTACAGGGTCTACAGGGTCTCACTACACAGATTAGACTCGTAGTGATCCTCCTGTTTTCAGCCTCCCAATTGCTGCGATAACAGGTACATACCACCACACCTAGTCTCAATCACTGTCCCAGCATCCCTGGGGGCAGGGCCAACACAGCATGCTGCAGATTGAACCCTGGTCCCTGCATTTGCCTGAGCAGGTGCTTTAGTCCGCTGAGTTACCTGGCCAGTCCCTCTTTTTTTTTTTTTTTTTAGCTAAGTCATATATAATTATGTGTATTTGTGTATAATTACATATAATCTTTCTATAAGGGCATAAACATTTTATCTGAGGTAAACAGTTTTTGGCTTAGTGTACTGATTTTTAAAAACCATACTTAATAATGCCATTTGCATTGTAAAAATGAGGATTTCTTAAAAAGTTAGATTTATTAACCTTTTAGTTTGTGGATTCTGTTTTACAACAAATTAAGAAATGCCTTTCCTACTTTGAGATTATTTTAAAAATAATCCTTTATTTTCTTCTATTATTTTCATAGTTTCATTTTTATATTTTAATTTTTAAGCACTTGGAATTAGTTTATAGATCAAGTATGAGGCAAGGATCTACTTTTATTCTTTTCTAGATGTCTACTGATTTATTCCAGTGAAATGAACTGAGTAATTCATCTTCCACAGCTAATTTGAAATACCTTTACAAGATACTAAAATTATTAGGACTCATTTTTATTCCTTTAATTTTAATTTCCTTATTATTATCTCACTTTAAACTTTTGCTTTCTTATAGCAGCACAATTTGTAATA